ATGTTTTCGTGATGCACATTTTCTTTACATAAAACTCTCTTATACATGAGTTGCTGTGGATTTGTTTCTCCAAAGTACCCAGACTAATACACCCCTCATCGCCCCCATGTGTAGGACAGAATAAAGCACAGCCTTGAGCCCATTGTTGCAGCCACTGCGTCAATCCATCTCATTGAGGGCCCTCCTCTTTTCCACTGCCTTCTACCAAGCATGATGTCCTTCTCCAGGGACTGGTCTCCCCTGACAATGTGTCCAAAGTACCTAAAACGAAGTCTCACCGTCCTTGCCTCTAAGGGGAAATTCTGGCTATACTTCTTCCAAGAGAGATGTGTTTGTTCTTTTGGCAGTCCATGGGACTGTCAATATTCTTTGCAGCACTTGATTTAAGTGCATTGACTCTTCTTCGGTGTTCCTTAGGCACTGTCCGACTTCACATGCGTATGAGGCCACTGAAAACACCATGGCCTGGGTCAGGCGCATCTTAAGTCCTCAAAGTGACATCCTTGCTTTTCAACACTTTATTGTTGTGACTCATAGCCAACCACCCTTCTGTTTTGCGTCTATAGTATTTCCTTTTCTAGAAATGTCACGTAAGTGGAATGTCAGTGTATAGTCTTTGTGTTTGACGCTTGCCACTCACCATAATAGCATTAAAATGCATCCATATTGTAGCATGTATCCATAGTTAATTCCTTTTCATCCATTGTATGGAACTACCACATTCTGTTTATCCATCCACCCCCCAGTATTTTGGCTATTGTGGATAATACCACAGTGAGCGTTCACATACAACTGTGTGGACATCTGCTTTCTTGTTCTGCTGTAGGCACCTGGGAGTAGGTGCGCTGGGTCACAGAACATGTTTAACTTTGTAAGAAACTGCCACATTTCTTGAAAACCAAACCAAAACAAAAACACCACATTCGATTCTAAGTTACTAACCAAACTCACTGCCACTGAGTCAATTCTGATTCATAAAGACCTAGAGGAGAGGCTAGAACTGCCTCTTTGAGTTTCCCACCCTGCAACTTTTTATGTGAAAGAGAACCTCATCTTTCTCCCATGGAGCGGCTGGTGGTTTTGAACTGCTGACTTTGGGTTAACAGCTGGTAACGTAGAGGGGCAGCAAAAAAGAGGAAGGTCCCTGACAAGATGGGTCGACCCTGGCTGCAACAACGGGCTCAAACACCAGAACTGTGAGGATGGCCGAGGACTAGATGGCGTCTCGTTCGGCTGTGTACGAGGTCTGCCTCGATGGCGCCCAACAACCACCACACCCACAGCAAAGCTCCTGCCAACCCGTTTGCAAACCTGCTGTCAGAAGTCAGCCTGCGGGAGCAGATGTGACAGTGGAGGGGCACACAGATTCTGGAATCAGAGGCTCTGGGTCCAGATAGTGCTTCTGCCACACAAGGCAAATACGGCTTTACCTCTTTGTGGCTCAACTTCCTCGGCTCTGAGAGGGGCAACACATGGGACCGTTGTGAAGACTGGAGAAGTTCACTACACAAAGCGCTTAGAATACCGTGGCTCATATGAACGTCACAACATCTTAGTTATCATCATCATCATTATTTCTTATAGTCAGTTAAGCAGTGGTCCAATAAGGAAGCAGTGGAAATCTGAGAGTCACAGGCATGGGACCACCATCAAGGATCTACCCAGTTATAGCTTTGTGGCCTTGGGCAAGTCTCACCCCCTCTCTGAACCTCTTGTGTAAGATAGAGGACACTTTATTTCTTCTCAACCCTCTTGGGTGATGGATCCAGTGGCTGAGTGAAGGGCAAGTGCTGTGTAGACGGTATGACTCTCTATGATGCAATGGGCTTGAGTTACACTTAGGACACTCCATTGTAGGGCTCATGGGAGACTGTGGGCCCTTAAGCCTTCATTCTGTGAAGCTCCACTAACCGCATAATCAGATGGTTAAACGCCAAGATTCTGGAGTCAAACTATCTGGTCCGAATCTTTACCTGGCCAATTGGGTCTCCATCTCTCATCTGATATACAGAGAACATAACCATCTCCAGACCCCACTTCCAGGTTGCAGCGAGGACTAGGTGAGTGTGAGGTGAATGAGCCAGATCCCTGTCCGGCATTCATACACAAGTGTTTGGTAAGCGTTAGCCACACGAAACTCATGCGAGATCTGCATTGCAGAAGGTGAGCTCCCATTCCTAGGAACAGGGTCCTCAGATTCCCACGGAGGCACCGAGGACCCACCAGGGACAAACAGGCCTCTTCGGTTCCTAAGGACTTCCTGGCCTCCCTTTTCTCTCCAGGGAAGGGAAAGGGGCTTCCTCCGTGTTAGAAATACTAGCCTTGACCTGACATGGAGCAACCCAGCTACAAAAGCAGAGTGGGTGGGGCAGGAAAGAAGCCAAGTTTCCTTCCGAAGAACCCCGGCCCCTTCAGGAAAGAGAGAGGGTTTGCAGCAAACTCACCAAAGACCACAGACCCCAAAGCTGCCCTCTGCAGCTGGGTTGGCAGTGCCCAATATCACATGCAAAATTGCAATGTTCAGTATGGGCCATGATGCCGAGAAGCCAAAACTATGTGCCAGCTGCCCTTTGATCTGCAAGAAATGCCAGGCTGGGCGCTCTGGCAGGGACAGCTGCCATTGCTTTGGGTCCCCCTTCTGAGAGGACAATGGTCTGAGCTGTTCCGGTTTCCTCGGCACACCATGAGTTAACCAAGGCTGTCCACTGTACTCCTGGTTTCCTTCAAGGGGGGGGGGGCAGTGTCCCTGGTCTCCGATCACTTTCGTGCTATAGAGCTTCAGCAAGCAGCAGAGGGGAGCCTGGAAACCTGGATTCTGCTCTGGCTCTTGGTCCCGCCACTTCCTAAGCTGCTTCCAACCTGTGTTCCCGCTTCTGTGAAAATGCCTGCATGGCTTTCTCACCCACCAGGACTGCAAGGATCCAAGCACAGTCCCCATCACTTACTCCCACCTGTGCTCCAGCAGCACGGGAGCACATTATTTCCAATCTGCCTTCGACCTCCACCGCAGACCCCTGACCATTCCCTTTCCTGCTCTGAGGCACGGAGAGTCAGAACCTCTCAGGGCGCCCTGGTTGGGTACAATTCAAACCCAGGCCTTCTATCTCTACGGAGACCCATTTAATTCAGACCCCACTATTCATGCTACCACCTCTGGGTCCGGGTGTGAAAGTTGGGGCCCAGGGAGCAGAAGAGACCCAGATGCCCAACCTCTGGGCCCACATCTCTTCCCACCACCCGGTACCACGGCTTGCACACCCAGCTGCCATCCCCTAGGCAACTCAGCCTAAGGAAGGCATTGTAGTAATTTGGTCCCGTTAGTTTTGCACGGCAAAGCCTCTAGGTGTCCCTACTGGTGGCCATGCCTCCCTGCAGCGTGCGGGCCATGCAGTAGACCAGTCTGTCAGTCACCCCAAGCTGCGAGTCCGCGCGAAGGACCTGAGAGCGGGGTTCGGCGCGAGCGCTGGATCAAACTGTGCCCTCGGAGCCACCCGCGCTGTCATTGGCTTCTTAACTCCCTTTCTGTACCCAGATTGGAGGGGCCGACCCCCTGGCCCCTGGTCCCGGGGCAGCGTTCCACCTTTCCGAATGCCCAGGGCCCCCAAGCGCCGCTCCGAGCCGGCATGGCAGCGGGAAGCCGCCAGCAGGCCGGCCAGTGCGCACGGAGTGGAGAGCACTCCCTTTTATGTCCAGGAATGTAGCGCGCACCGCGCCCGCGCCCGCCGCTAAACCAACTTTCCACAAGGCGTGGAGAGTCCGTGCCACCCCTCCAGGCCGGATCCCTTACCTGTCGCGGCGCGGGTCCAAGGGACAGCAGGGAGAAGGGCGGAGACGGAGAGCAGCAAGAGCAGACGCCCGCACTGGCCGTTCCTCCTGCAAGAAGTGGCCGAGAGAGGGGAGGTGAGAGGGGAGGTGAGGCAGGAGGGCGGGCTGGGGGTCCCGGGGCGCGAGGCGGCGGGTCTTACCTTGGCGCCATCTCGCTGGTCTTGGAGCCCGAAGGCGCGCAGCGAGCCGGGCTGGGCAGAGGCGCGGAGCTGGGCGAGAGCTGGGGGCTGTGCGCCCGGCCGCCTGGAACAAAGGCGGCGCTCCGCGGCAGTGGCCGGCGCCCTGAGTCACCGCGCTCTGAAACCCGACTCCGCCGCGCCCTGCGCTCCCGCTCTGCGCCCCACCTCGGGTCGCCGAGGCTCTCGCTCGCCGGGGATCCGGGCCCGCCGGCGCTCCCCACGCCCCTTCCCCCTCGACGGGCTCCACCTCCGCGCCTCCGCCCCCCCCCCCCCCCCCCCCCCCCCCCCCCCCCCCCCCCCCCCCCGCCCCAGGCGGTCTTACGTAACCTCGAGGAAAGCCCAGCGGACCCTGGCCACCTCGCGCGCTTTGTCCATCCGGCCCTCTCCGCCGAGGGAGACAGGAACCACGGAGATTCTGCTATTCGATGGACGAGGAAACTGAGGCTCAGAGAGGCATGTGAATGTCCCAAGGTCACACAGCTGGAGGGAATCAGCTCACCTGACCCACAAACTCACGTGGACGCTCAGGAGTGGCCCCATGTTTGGGGCATACGTGCTATATATCCCAAATAATCCTTCCCCTTGACCCCATGGCGATGGCTTTGTGGGGGGCTGAGGGCAAGGAGATGAAGGAGCACTGGGGGCAGAGGGATTGGGACCCCGGGCTCCTAACTGCAATGTCAGTGGTTGGTGCCCACGAGCCTTCCCCGTGGGAAAAGGATGCGGCAAGCTGCTTCTCTAAAAATGATAGCCTTGTTCTACTCTGTCCTACCCTGTCACTGTGTGTCAAAATTGACTGGCTGGAGAGTAACAGGCTTGGTGCTTTTTGCTGCTGTCTTTCCGCACGCCACCCTCCCCCCACCTTCTTCTACATTTTGCGATGTCTGTTGAGATTATACACAGCAAAACAAGTCAACAAATTTCTGTGTATACTATTCAGGGGCATTGCTTACATTCCTCAAGTCGTGCAAGTATTCTTACGCTCCTTTTTGGGGTCCTTCCTCCCCAGCAAACAAACTCTCTGCCCCTAGGTTTTCCCTCTAAACTTCCAAGTTGCTCTCGTCAATGTGCTGTCATACAGATGGAGCTTAGAAGAGCTTACATAGCTCCACGGTGTGTGATGATCAGACAGAATAGAATCTAGGGTCTTAACGCTTGTCTTGAAACAAGCAGTCTTCCTAGTGAGGTGTCAGCTCCCCACACAGAAGAAGCACGCCAGCCTGTGCGATCCAAGAATTATAACTAATGAAACCCAAGATCAGAAGATTTAATTGTTTGCAGCTGAAATTCTGAGTGACTGGTTTGGAGAAGGTTAGAGTCTCCATTCGGATTAAGTCTCCATTGAAGGAATCAGTGACCAGAGATGTGGATAGACTTGTCCTCAAACAGAGTGCAAGAGAAAGTGAATTCTTGCAGATGTTACTGAAATAAAACACCGCCATCGAGTCAATTCCAACTCATAGCAACCCGATAGGACAGGGTAGAACTGCCCCTGTGAGTTTCTGAGCCTATAACTCTGTACAGAAGTAGAAAGCCTCTTCTTTCTCCTGCGGTCAATACTGGTTTCAAACTGCTGACCTTGCGGTTAGCAGCCCAATGAGTAACCCACTATGCCACTAAGGCCCCCTACCAGATAAAGTAACATCCACAGGTTCCAGAGATTGGGACATGGATGTCCTCTGAGGAGTGACCATTCCGTTGGCCCTTGTCCCCAGCAGGGCTAACGCCAACCACCTTTTCACTTGACTGTGGTCCCTTGGAATCTAGAGATCCTTAATGAAAACCAGGATGACTGTGGAGCCTCTGGGTTACTTGTGCACCAGCAGGTGGAGGCCCTGGGCAGGCCTGCCTTCCCAGCAGTCCAAGTCTGAACTGATTTTGGCAGTGCTTCCTCTCACTCAAAGATCATATACTCTCCTTATGCCTGGTACTAAGGACCATGGCAAAAGCTACCATGTGAGGGCTCTTCAAGTCACAGGCCTTGTGCTAAACTCTACCAGGTGAGATAGTCTACACTGACCCCCAACCCCCTCACTCTGGAGTCTTCAGACTGAAAGTGGCTCATCTCTCGTCACCCCTCACAGGGCCAGGCCATGTGTGGTACCCAAGGAAGACTGTGCCTTCAGTCATCCAAGGTGTACTTAGGGGACTGCTGCTTAGCCAATTATTGTCATTGCTGTGAACAAGTTGCATACCTTTAAAAAGCTGAACTGGAAAATGTATGATAGGCCTATTTACAACAATGACCAAAAAGGAAAGTAACTGTGGAGGCTATTTGGGTGCAACCATGTGCCGCGCGAGATGTGGGTCCTTGGTCTGGAGGGTTAGAGTTCTTGTTTCATGGGACATCCCTAACCATGTCTTCGGTTCCACCTTCTAGTTCAGCAGTTCTCAACCTGTGGATCACGACCCTTTTGGGGGTTGAACAACCCTTTCACAGGGGATGCCCGATTCATAACAGTGGCAAAATTACAGTGATGATGTAGCAACGAAAATAATTTTACGGTTGGGGGGTCACCACAACATGAGGAACTGTATGAAAGGGTCGTGGCATTAGGAAGGTTGAGAACCACTGTGTTAAAGTGATGGTTTATAGAAATCGAAAGATATAATTCCCCCCAAAACATTTTCCCCCTAAAATGCGTGGCCATGGGTGCACATCTATATGGTTAAATCTGTACCTTTTCTACCTGGGAAGCCAGGTATAACCAAGTGTCTCGCTTGGGAGTATGGCCTAGAGGTGGGACTGGTGAGCTCAGCTTGGCGGAGGGTCTAAGGACCAAACGGGCCCGGCTGTGAGTGTGGGAGGGAAGAAAGCAGGAAGCCAAACAAGGCACTCCACCTCCTGCCACGCTGCGCTTGCAGGGCTTAAGTGATTTCCTTCTATTCAATGTGAGGTTGGAGGAATAGCCAAGAGGAAGCTTCATGTCATCCCCACGCTGGTCTAAACTGTTTACTTCGGCTCCGTTCAGTCTTCAAGATCGGAACAAGTGGGTTCTCATGTCCCAGCTTGTCCAAGGCTCCGCTGCATTCTGAGGAAGCTCCACTTTCCCCTGCTCCACCCGAGTGACCCAGAAAAGTCGGCCTCCATAAGCTCTCTTCTGACTGGCTCAAGCAGCTGGAAGGGACACACGAACCAGCCAGAAGCAGCTGGAGTTTGGATCTGGGACGAAGTTACCAAGCGTGTTGAGCATCCGGAACCTTGGTTTCTTTCCGTTGCTGTTGGTGATAGTTCCATGGAGTCAGCTCTGAGGCGTGGAGACTTTATGTCGAACTGAACACCGCCCCGCCTGGTCTGGTGAGTCTGTCCCGTGGCCATCATATCTCGATATGTCGCCGATGGGCTCCCTCTGATGTCTTTCTCCATCAACCAGTCCCTCCCGATGACACATTGAAGCAAGTCAAAATCTTAATCTGTGATCCATAGAGCAACGTCTTCCTGTGTGGTCCAGAGGGTTTTCATTGCCCAGTAGATTGCCTGTCTTCCTAGCATCTTAGTCTGGAGGCTCTGCTGAAACCTCTGCACTGTGAGTGGACCTGTTGCTATTGAAACCCCAGTGGCAAGGCTTCCAGTTCATAGCAGTGCACAAGCTTTGCTCTTGAGCTGGGCAGATAATGTGCTTCTTAAGCTTTGCGGCAGGCCAGTCTATTGGTGCCGATTGCCAAACAGCACATGCTCACTTCATGGATCTGTATCACATTTTGGAAATTTTCATCATATTTTCAGCTTTCTCATAATGTGACTGCACATTGTAGCATAAACATGAACTTTTACGTGCACTGGCAAAGCCAAAAAGCCAATGTGCTTGCTTTTCTGTGAATCGCTCACTGTTTCGGTCCTCTGGAATGGAACACACACGCTCTCTGAGGTCAAAACGCCAAACCCAGGGCCGCGAAGTCAATCCTGAGTCATCGTGACCCTCTGCTATAGAGCATGCCTAAGGCTAGAAGTCTTCGTGGGAACAGAATGCCTCACCCTTTCTCCCTTGGAGCACCTGGTGAGTTTGAACCACAGACCCTGCCATGAGCGGCTGAGGACTCTCATCTCTGAGCTACATCTGTCAACGCCTCCTTCGTGGGGTTGTGGTAAGAAGGTTCACGGGAGGTCCTCAAAGCTCGCATTTTCATTTGACTTAATGAGCAGAAGAAGCCAAGCAGACTTCACCAGCTGGTTAGAAAACAGTGTACCAGCATAAGCGGAAAGATCATTGCCTTCTGGGTAATTAAGAGAACAGGATGCCAGTTGAGCACTGCCTTCCACGGAGGACCTCTGTGTTGTGATGAGCACCTCACTGTGTTTGGCGAGGAGGCGAAGGAGACAGAGCTGAGAAGAGCCGACTTGTTCAGTGTAGCGGAGAAAGCTGCGCTTGACACTCTTCTGCCTTTATCATCTGTGTACTGCCTTTATAATGTGGTGGCTGTCTTCCCGTGGCCAGCGCCTGTGTTCCCTTCAGGGGTCCTGGTGGGGCGGTGGACTAAATGTTGGGCGAAAAGGTGGACGTTTGAACCCACCGCAGGAGGATGAGGCAGCCTGCTTCTGTAAAGACTTTCCATCTCGGACACCCTGTGGGCCAGTTCTACTCTGTCCTATAGGTCACTGGGAGTCAGAATTGACCCGACAGCAGTGGGCTTGATCTGGGTATTCCCTTGACTGAGGGTTTTCCCTGTTGACGCCCGGATGCCAGAAGTGGTGGGAAAGAATGACGCCTCCAAGCGTCATTGCCGTCAGCAAAAGGAGTCCGTGGACGCAACCTCAGCCCCCTCCCCCATCGGTGGGAACACTCAAGAACCTGGTTTACACTGGTGCCCGGGTGCCCTGCAGCACTGAGCTCCCTTGGCACAAGGGTGTAGTGCATTTGCCCTTTGTGGGCTGTCTTCCCTTTCCTGCATTTCTAGAATTGTGGCTTCAAGGTCGACTTCTAGGGGGATCCAAATGAAGACAGCTACTTCAGGTTCTGTCGACCTCACCTGTTTTCAGCATCTTCAACCATGTGTTTCTGCCCCAGGTCCCTCAGTGCTGACACAGCTGCTATCCC